CTAGAAAGTAAATATAATAGAAATAATCGAAGGTTATAACAAGCGTCCTAGATAAGGGGTTTACTATTAATAATAAGTCGTCTATAAAGAACTACTTAAGAGTAGATTATAGATAAATAAACTTAATTACTTGCGTGAGGAAATTAAATTCCTCGATACGGAGAGCGCTGGGCGCTCCCTCTTATTTATATATAGCTATATCACAGTTAAGCCAAACAGGCAGGACGGACCGTGTGCGGGGCACAAGACGCACAGCCAATCGCTAGCAGGACCAATCAGAACAAGGATACGCGATTATAGACAGCAGACTGGGAAGACACAGTAATCGCGGCAACATAACTAATAGGGAGCTACGGAGGATTATAGCGATCATTATAATCATTAGGAACTAGCGGAATAATTACTATAATCAGGGCTTAGCACGAGGTCTATATATACGGAGGAATTAGCTAGTGTAGATAGATAGTTCCGTAGTATATAATTTAAGTTTATATTTACGGTATTTTATATTTATATTAAAATATTTTATTGTATATTATTTAGTTATACCGAACTAAAATTATTTAAAAGTTACCTTTAATTAATATTCCTTTTAGAGATTCTAAATAGGGGTTCGTTATACGTTATATATTTATTTTAATTTTATTACGGATAAATTAAAGGTATTAAAATAATATTATAGTTAAAAATATTAATATTTAGGAGGGCTTAATCTAGTTTATTATCGACTAGCTTCTCGCTCGTATTTAAGAGTTTAAAAATAAATTACGCCTTTCCTATAATATCCTTACGTAAAAAAATATTATACTTTATTAAGAAATTAGTACCTTACGTAAGGAGGGAAAATATATTAAGCTCGAAATACTTAATTACTATAGAAGCGTAAAGGGAAAGCTAAAAGGGTTCTTAATTTAATTTAAAGTTTACTTTCGGTATTACCCTTTTCGTTTTTTAAACGAGGAATTTAAAGTTATATATATTACGTTCCGGTTTAAAGATAAAATATTTATTTAGTTCGAATTGATTTTAGGAAATTACTTTAATAATAAATACGATAAGAGGGAGGATATTACGAAAAAATATTTTAAATCGTATAAAAGCTTTAAAAAAAAATTAAGGTATTTAGAAAGTACGACGAGGGTAAGCGTGCTTAAAAGCGACTAACTAACTTTAAATAAACTCGATTTAT